CGGGGGGCCTTGGCACGGCTGCGATGGTGTGGAGCTGAGAACTGGCGCGCTCACTGCATCATGCGCTCCCCAGCACTGGCACAGCCTGGGAGCCTGTGGGGCTGGTCCTTCTCCCTCCCTGGGGGGCTCAGGGGGGGGGTCCCTCTCCTTGGTGGGTCCCCACAGCCCCTCCCTCCATGTTCTCCCACAGCTGAGGGGGACGGGGCAGGCAGGGTCTGGGTGCTCGAAGGGCACCCGGGACAGCAACGCTGCTGCTCACCAGCCCCAGTGAGGACCCCCCAGAAATGTTGGGGACGAGCGGGGGCCCCAGAGCTGAGCCCTGAGAGTCCATCAGCTGCGCTTAGGGTGGCCTTAATGACTAATTAGCCTCGAGGACAAAGGAGCCCTTGTTAAAAATGGTGGCACAGCTGGGAGCGGAGGATGCGCTTCCTCCTGGAATAAGGACCGGGGAGGCTGGAACAGGTACCGGGAGCATCCCATGGGCCACCCTCTCCTCATGTTCCAGTTCCTACAGCTCCGGTTACTGGGAGAGAACTGGTTTTGGCTGCAGTGTAGCGGCTGCTCCAGACGCCTCTTGGACTTCCACAGCTTTGCGTTAACTCCCCCAAGCGTCTTCATCGGGGCTCACGTGGAGGTCGGCTTGGATGGCAGAGCAGCCCCGCCAGCCCCTCCCTGGCACCCCAGCAGCCAGCCCCAACCAGGGAAAACCAGAATGATTTTTTTTATAAGGATACTGGAAGCAGAAATCAAGTTGGAAAACGTGCGAGGTGACCATCAGAGCTGAAAAAGGCAGCTAGGAGCAACCTCTACCCCGTGAACTTCCCTGGGCAGGTGGGGGAGAGCCCAATGGAGGGATCTTGGGCTCTTCATCCCTCATCCCACACGAGGAATTCCCATGGCGGCTCTTGGGGCGTCCAGCACCAGTCGGACACGCGGCTCGGTCAGCGGTGGTGGTGTCCGTGGAAGGGGACTCCCCGCCTCGCCCTGAGGAAACCACAGTTGGGAGCAACTCTTGGCTCTGAGGGCCCTGGCTCCACGTCGCCCTGGTTTCCACAGCGGGCTGGGAGTGCCCGGGGCTGTATAATTGCTAAGTCTTTTTAAACCTCAGATTTAAAAGCTGTAATTCTGATATTGTTTGTAATCTGATAACACTGTGAGCCACTGAGCTCCTAATGTGCCCAGCTTGGGAAACCATGAGGATTTTCCCACTAAGCCGAAATATCAGACTGTTGATTCTTGAGTTAATCGTCTTTACCCCCTTGGGGACATCAGATTTTGGCAACTAACTTTCTTGCTGATTTAGTGGGGGGCCGGTGGGAGAGGAGGTGGGCATGGTCCTGAGAGAATCACCGTGGTGGCACTGTGCTTGACCCTGGGGAAAGTGGGACGTGCCAGGACACAGCTTGTCTGCACCTACCCGGCCCCGAGGGTTAAACTGGGCTTGTGCAAAAGCCGGGACCCTCAGGCTCACACCGTCTGTTGGAAGCCAACCCATCATTTGCCTGTTTGCAGCCTTCAGGACCAGTTTTTTCTCTCCCTGAGCCCAAGCTGTTGCTCCTGGATGTGGCCGTATGGGCGAGTGACTCCTGTGCGTGGGGTGTCCCCATCCCTGCAGCATCCGGCACCCTCCAGTCCTGCCCAGTGTCCCACCCAGCCCTGGTCTGAGCCACCCAGGTCCTTGGAGCGTGGGATCAGCAGTGCCACGGCGCTGGACATCGATCCCTGGGGACGTGTCGTAGGGATGGACACCTGGTAGAAGATTCTGTCCAGCTTGTCCCAGGCTGTGGTGTTCCAAAACCTGCACCTCCTCCATCAAACGGAGTGTCCGTGCCTGTGCCACCGCCCTGCTCCCCTCCCTGCACCCTGCCGGGGCCAGGGCACCCAGAGGGAGGGCAAGGCTCCCTTCCCACATCCAGCCCAGTGGAACTGGGACCAGATTCCCCATCCCAGCGGCTCCTCCGGAGCCTCCCGCTGGTGCGGGGTGGGGAATTCACCCAAATCCCAGCCCTTAAGCTCTTTGCCGCGCTCCGGATCAGCCGCGGTTCAATCTGTTTGCAAAGCTGTACAGAGTGTTTACGCAGTGGGGACCCGTCCAGGGGATTAGGGGAAACGTTCCCCCGGCATCTGCTTGGCCCAGCCACTGCACCGCAGCATCCCTCTCCTCAGGGGCCATCCCGGCCCTCCCAGCCCTCCCCATCCCACCCCTGCCCCGGGATCCAGGGAGCGCGCTGGCTCCGAAGGTGCTCTGTGTTTTCCCGGCACCCAAAGGGATTTCGGTGCTGACACAGGGTCCTGCTCAAGGTGGAGGAGCTCACGCTCCACCCAGGTGCTGGTGCGGGTCCCCGTGGGCTGGCTGACCCCGAGGGGAGCTCAGGGTGACCAGGAGGGACGGTCATCCCCCTCCCCTGGGCTCTGAGGAGTCTCAGGATATCCCTGAGCCCGCGGATACGTGGGCAACGCCAGCGCCGTGCCAGCTTCCAGCAGCAGAAAGGGGCCCTCTGGAGGGTCCCCTAATTCCTGAGCCCCCCTCTTGGGTCGCGAGCCTGAGCGTGGTGACGGTGCTGGGAGCAGGAGGCACAGATGCCACCATGAGCTGGGTGGCTGGGGTGAGGGAGGCCCACGGGCTCTGTTCGGAGGGTGCCACACGCAGCACTTTCACCCTTCTCCCCATCTCCCACCGTCTGCCCTGCTCGGGAAACCTCAGAAATCACGTTTGGCCCACGAGGGACGTCCCTGAGGTGTCCCTTGGATGCACCCTGGTGCTCCTGCACCAGGTTGGGAACATGCTGGGCTGTCGGAAGAGCTTGTGGGGACACGGCTGCTCTCCCCAGAGCTGTGCCAGCCCCCAGCCATCCCCCGGCCCGAGGGCTGCGGTCACCACCCGGGCTGCTGCGGGGTGTTAAATCGTGTCCTGGGAGAGCAGAGCCTGTCACCGTCCTACACGCAAGGATCTGGGCTGCCGGTGAGGGCCGACAGCCAGGGACACCCCGAAATCAGCCTGCGCTGGGGTGGGACCGGGGCAGCATCCCCAGCCCACGGGGGGCTGACGGCAGCGCGGGCAGCGCGGGCAGGGACAGGCAGCCCTGGGCAATCCCCGGAGCCCTGGCATCTGGGTGGCACCGGGCGTTTCATTGAGTCCCATCCCTGGCTGAGACGTGGGAGGTGGCAGCTGTCGTGCACTGGTCAGCACACACAGAGCGTTGGGTTGTTTCATTTTTAATTTTTTTTTTTTTTTCATATTATAATACAAGTTCAGGAACCTCCCAGCTTAATCCCCACCAGATAAACTAACAGTGGAGAGATTTGGAGTTATTGACGAAGTCTTGCTGCTCGGGTGAGATTAGAGCTCGGCTTAATCTTGTAGCAGGAGGGTTTGGGGGTGGTTTAATCAGAATTTGTACAGGAATAATCCCGTCTTTAAACTCGTCCGCAGCCCAATCCCTCCCAAGTTGTAATCAGGCAGGAGCCTCTCAGATGAAGAGGCCTCGGGGGGTATTTCCAGCCCAAATGATGCAGGGGGAGTCCCAGAGACACGAGCCAAGGGCACGCCGGTGCCAAAGACCCCACGCGCACCCACCCAGGGCGCTGGCACCTTCCCCAGAGGCGAAACTGAGGCACGGACCCCAGCGAGGCTTCGCTTCTCATTGTCCTCCTGCGTGGTGACTCGATACCTGTTTCTGCAAAGGTTTAAGCTCGTGGGATTCGGCCACTTGCCCACGAGATGCCCGAGCCGGCAGTGGCCCTGGAGGTACCCGGAGCCTGGGGGACACTGAGGTGTCACCTGGCCAGGAAAGCTTGAAACACTCCCC